TCCTGGCTTCCTGTCATGATGGAAAGTGTTGGAAAACACCACAGAGACGGTGTCATTCTTGCCACACAACAGGAGGGTGCACCCTGTTGGCATGATGGGTCCTGTGTGTGTGCCTGGACCACCCAGCTGGGCAGGAGTCGGCATACGGCTGCCCCTCCCCGCCATGCCCTGTCCTGTGTTCTTTGGAAAGAAAGTCTTCAGCACTGCCAGTACCTAAAGAGTGGGGAGTTACGCTCCACTCCTTAGGAAAAGGGTATAGACACAAATTGTTTGGAATTTTTCTGCTTGGGAGATTTGTCTTTATTTATTCAGCTATTTGTTTATATCAGGGTGGACTTTTAGGTATTTATTTTATACTTCGAGCCATAATCCAAATCTGTTTGGTTGTTCAGATGGTCCCAACTTTGCTAATTGGGAGCTCTTTCCATTGATTCCTATGTACCTTTTACAAAATACTCTTGTCGAGGGGGATTTTGTTTTTGTTTGTTTTCCTTTTTTACTGAGTTTATTGGTACATTTTAGGTAGACAGTACAGTTACATTCATCATTGGGATCTTGTACCTTTACATGACAGGTCTTGGTTCTCATTTTTACCCCTTGTCCCTGCCCTCCCTTCACCCCCTCCTCCCCTCCCCATTTACAAACATTTTATTTCCATTTTTTCACTTTCTCATATTTTTTCTTTTCCCTTATTACCTTTCCCATTCATAGGAAAATGGATGCATATTGAGGATATACTCCTAAGTGAAATACATAAGTCACACATGTGTAAATACCGAATAGTTTCTCTGGTGTGAAAAACTATAATAGTACATAAGATCCTAATGAGATAACTGACAATGTAAAATAGGAAGAAAAGGGCTAAAGGTGTTTTCTTTTTTGAGCACTTCCTCCTTTCTGACTCTGCAGGGTACTCCAGGGTCGTCTTGTATATTTTCTGCCCTGGTCCTAGAATGAGCCAGGTCTCCAAGTAGATCCTCCTCCTTCTATTGGAGGAAGGTATTGGGCCTAGGATATGTGTCCCCATGGTACCTGTTTCTACTAGAATGCCATTGCTTCTAGGTGTGGTGGCACAAGCCTTTCATCCCAGCTACTTGGGAGGCTGAGGCAGGAGGATTGCAGGTTGGAGGCCAGCCTGGGCATCTGATTGTTTCTCAGAAAACAAGAAGGGCTGGCTGTGGATGCAGTTCGGTGTAGAGCACATACCTGATGTGCAGAAACCCTGGGCTCTGTCTTCAGTATATCAGTCAGTTAATAACAGGTACATAGCACCACATTCTTTGTTGTAACCCTGCCCTTGAGATTGCCTGCAGCATTTTAAATTTCAGAAGATCAAGAACATTATTCTTTCCCTTTGGAAAAAATTAAACAAGCTTTCAGCTAGTGGCATGTCCTCAAGGAAGCTAAAGGCATGTGTTTCCCGTGTTTTGTTTGGCCCTTGGGGTGGTCTGACGGCCACCTACAAGTGATGTCCTGAAGTGTCTGGTCACAGAGGGGCTGATAGCCATGCCCCTGGGGGACCAAAGGGTCAGGGCCTGGAGCTGCAGGCAGAGGAGTTGGTGGAGACTCAGGAGTGTTGCTGGTGAGGGCCACCTGCCACAGGGTGTGAGAGCTGCCGCCTCCTTCCCTGACCAGCCTCGGAACAGTCTCTGTGGATTCAGCCAGGCAGAGTTGGCTGCACCAGCTGTGTCTTGTGTGTCCTTTGTAGCCCTGGGCCTGTGGGGACTCTGATGGGTTTGACTGGTTAACACTGCTATGCAGACCCTGTCCAAAGACTGACACTGAATAAACAGGAGAGAGCCTTTGGCTCAGACCTGTGTGTAACATTGTAACTTGAGACACAGTGAATTGCTTCCTCTTATTATCCCTTGCTTTATTCCTGTTTTAGACCCCAGCTCAGACCAGGCTCCAGAAGTGGTGACTGTCGCCTAACTGCTATTTTGTACTAAGAGAGTAACAAAGCATTTAAATGCTGAGAATATTTCCATTATGCCAGGGTGCCTGCACTTTTCCTAGTAACAGTCCTTAATGCATTGCTCTCCCTCTCAGCAGAGAATGTGGCTGCCAAGGAGCCCTTAAAGCACACAGAGTGAGTAAAAAGGACACGGAACAAAGCTGGATCCCAAGGGGGAGATGACGCCACTCTGTAAATAGCGCACTGTTTTCCTTCGAAATGCCTGGCACTTTATCTGGGTTTGTCGTGTGCACTGGGGCTATGTCTAATTCTGTGGTGAAAAGCAGTGCACTTCCAATCTCAGAGCCACACAGGCTGGGGCGGGGACATCTGGATCTCTTCAGAGGTTTTAACTACTTAAACTACGAGCTTACACATTCAGCGCACCTGGAAACGGGATCCTGCCTGTCACTTGCATTCACACGGTTGTCACCTCACCTTTAACGCCCGACCCACTGGAAGATTGCAGTGGAAACAGGCAGTAGCTAGCTCTGAGCAGCTCCAGGAACTGGCGCACACAGGCAAAGCCGTGGCCATGTCGCGCTGGTTCCGTTGGGCCCCCAGGCCACACCGCACACAGCCTGTGGGCAGAGCTCCGTGTCTTTCACAGCCACCTTCCATGAGAAGCTGCCACAGACCGGGCTTCCTTGCCTGGGCCGCATGTAATTGCTCCTGTCCCTGTGATTCAACAGCTGTAGGCTTAGTCCCTTTGACACCAGTTCCTCTTTTTCTTCTTCAAAATTATCTTCTTTTCCTTCTGTTTTTGTCTGTCTTCCTCTTTGATGAAGAGCCTGTCTCTTGTCCAACCCAGGCACATTCATATTATTTCATGGGACCCAGATGTTTGCTGAGAATTATTTGACACCAGCGGGGCACAGCCTTGTTCCATCTCCAGAGGACGTAGCATTCTAAGAAAGGATCTGCTCACTAGTTTTCCACACATTTGAAATTTTAGAGCTCAGGGCAAAAAGAGTTCAAGAGATGAAAAATCCTAGCCTTTGGATTCCCCCCCACCCAAAATACCATGATTTTGCTCTTAGTACCCTAAAAGTCATTCTTTCATGAATATGAAGATATATAGAGATATTTATATAGAGAAATAGATCTCTGTATGGAGATATATTGCAGATATATATATATCAGCATAGAGACACATATCTCTTAATACATTGATATATAATATGCGTATATATTTTTGACCTGGATTTATTTGTGTATTCAGCATGTTTGACACATAAGATTAAAAAAATAGAAATGTTTTCATTTTCTGCGGTCTGTCTAGGATCAGGAGCCTGAAGGTGGAGTGAGGGGTTATATTTTAGGGAACATTTTCATAAATTTCTGGTTTTGCCCCACCTATGTAAAAGATCTAGGATGCAGTCACTGAAACATTGCGGGGGTGTCTAAGTGGAGCAGAAGAAGGTCGTGCTCCTGGGTTAGAAGGTCGTTGCTCTTAAGGTGTGGTTTTCACCAAGAGTGACCCCTCCCGGGGATAGACACTGGGCAGGATCTAGAGGAGCCCGCTCAGCCCTCCCGCCGGGATCACCTTCCTTCGGGCAGAATGCACAGCGCTTACGCCCAGGGAAATCCGCCGGGGAGCCGCTGGCAGAGGTGGACCTTGCCCACAGAAATTTCACATTTGGGAAAGTAAAGCAGGTGCGAACTTGTTCAGAGCCCTGGGCAAGTAAAACCCTTCACTGTACGAAGCATTTCCAAAGCCAAGTTCCCAGATACCAGCTCGGCGCTCGCCTTATAAACAGTCCTTTCTAAAAATAAGCCTCATTGGAAGAGTGACAAACTATAAAAATAAGATTGTATTTGAAAGAGACCAGTGCACTGAGACCTTCGTGGCCCGGGATGCTTCAGAGCCTTAAATCCTCTTTTTGGAACACGGTAGGACGTTAAGTAAAACCAGGATGCAGAACGAACGGCAGCTTCTCCTTGCACTTGCTCTGTATAGCATGACTTCCGGTTGTATTTTTCTCAGCATATCACTTTGCTTCCTTTCATAAAATGTTTCTCAGGTGAGAATCATCTTAACCCCTGCTAACCTGACCATGACCCCGTTCAGTTCTGTAGCAAATAAAAGGTGAAGATTGGTCATGGGATTTATAATCCCCTCACCGATGAGACTTGTTCTTTGCTGGCCAAGCACCAGATGCATCTGCCTGGGAGAAGAGAGCCTTCTGCTCATTTGCCCTGGGTTGCCGAGTGGCAGGCTTTCTTGTGAGCATTTTAGCTTAGAGAAACCTGGCGGATGTGGCGGTGCACACTACCCACCCAGCCTCCCAGTCGGAGGCAGGAGGACCAGAAATCCCACACCAGACCGGGCAATTTAGCAAGACCGTATCTCGGAAGAGAAAGGCAATAGCTCAGTGGGAGAGCAGTTCCCAGCACGCATGAGGCCCTGATTTTGATCCCCAGTACCACCAGAAGAAGCCAGCGAGACATGAGGGTATGCTGTGTGGGACCCGGGAGGACTGGACTCCAGCTGCTCCGGAGGCCTTTCCTCGCTCACCTGCCCCACTTGTCCTTGAGCAACAGGCATACTGTTAGGGTATGTGTCTCTTCTTGTCATCTGGAGGATGCCAGCCGGCCCTTCTGTGTCTGGATCTCGGTATTAATGTCCCCAGCCGAGGTGTCTTGGTATCTACAGCAATAAAAAGCAGAGACAGGAAATCCCCATGGCTTCCCCGAGTGAAGTTACTGTTCTTACTGAGTCACAATGTTTCTTGAAGGGGAATTAAACCTTCTCACTTGAGAAAGTGCAAAGTATTATTTAAAAAGTGGAACCTTGAAACAAATAGAAAATATCTGATAGTCACAAGTTAGCTTCAAATAAGTGGTGTTCAGGTGCTGACGTGACTTTATTTATCTCAAGCCTACGGCCACCACTAAACTGACTCTGGGCACCCACAGCAGAGGGCTCTGTGTGCAACCCTTAAAACCTGCACCTGCGCCCTCCCTACCTCCCCTGGGGATCGCATTCCTCCCCTCCCTCCTTCTCACTAAGAAAGCGCCTCACCCTGCATTTCCCCTTTTGCAGATGCGGACCACGCGCAAGGTGTCCGTCTGGCCGGTGGGCCTCGTTGGCGGGCGGCGCTACGAACGACCGGTGGTGGAAAACGGCAAAGTGGTCGGCTGGTACACTGGCTGGAGAGCGGACAGGCCTTTCGCCATCGACATGGCAGGTGAGGGCAGGCGGGCATGGCTTCCGGCCGGGGTGCTCTTCGGCGCTTCGTTCAGAATAGCACCGCATAAGGAGAGGCCTTCAGGGTCGATCCAGTTAAAACCCTGAGCTGTGTCTCATTCTACAGGTGAAATCCTGTACTTAGACATTCAAAGTCAGCTCTTGGGAAGTTAAATTTGGAAGTGCTTAGGAAATATTTCTTTCATTCTGTTTTGTTGCCCCCCTATACCTGTATCTATCAACTACTCATGTGCCAGGCCTGGGCTGGGTGGCGGGGTTCAGGGCTTGAATCAGGCTGGCCCCTCCTTGCAGTCGTGGGTTAGCTGGAACCTTTAGGCACTGTCTCGAGCACACCGACTCATTTAAATATGTCATGTTCACTGATAAAGGGAATAACAGTGTTAAATTGGCAACTGGTTGCAATGCTTATCAATAAATTTAGTGCTTTGTTGATAGATTAGCTAAAATATGAAATTGGATTACTAGTTTTCCCAGTGTATATTAACTTGGAGATCAGCTATCTTTTTTTTATTCTCTTAGCATCCACTAGAGCAGGAACAGACCACAAGTTCAACAGGGCTACTTTATCATAAAGTGCTTCATTTTCTGTAAGTTACGGAAAATGATGTGGTATGTGATGGAGCTTGAAAAGGAGGCTGAGAGAGAAAGAAAACCACTGCCTCCTGTACTACAGAAGATGAGGGCAGAAGCCTCACAGTTGACCTCACCAGTCACAGCTGTCTGTCCATCCATGCCTGGTGCCCCAGCTGCCGTGCTATTTCCCAGCCTTAGCCGACACCTCTCCCAGGTTCTGCTGGGATGAGGGCTGTGTGCGCTCCACTGGGTCCCCTCACATTCTGATGGTTGTGCACAGATGAGAAAGCAAGATTGTGACGAGTACTAGGGGCGAGTTGGGGGCAAAGCCCTCCAGGGTGACTCGTACATTGTCACCTTACATCATGGGAGAATGAACTCTCGAGTATTTTTATTCAGCATTTGGCATTTCCAGATACCTGCTTTGTGCAACTTTGCTCTGTGGTCTCTGACCCTTGGGGCAGCCTAGATCGCTTGGTCTTTGTGGTCACCCGCCTGTCCCTCTCTGCCCCATGATTTTCAGTGCTTGCAGAAAGCTGAGAGCCGAACAGGCATCGCAGCCAAAGTGTTTATGTGGGGGCAGAGAAGAGAGGCAGGTGAGCCACCCTTGGAAGGTCTGGGCCCTCTGCCGAGACCATTCCCCTCCAGTCTGAGTCCACAGCTCTGAAAGTACAAGGCCAACCATGATGTATCTTTTGAAAATCAGCCTCTTGCTTGGCTGTAGTATACTCTCAAGCAGAAGTTTGGAGAACATTAGAGAAAATCCTTTCGCTTCCCAGGACCTTGGTGTCTTCCTATATAAAACTAAGCAGGGATGGCCTGATGGCCACCAGGTCCTCAATGTTTTCTTTCCTTTTCCCAGTTTCCCACCTGGAAAGCTCAGAGAAAACCTGCATCCCTGACTTCAAGGGGTTGTGACTGCTGTGGCAGCCAGCTGACAGACCTATGGTCCTGACCTTTCCAAGCCTGGTTTCTACACATACCCCAGCCAGACCGCATACACACACGGCTCTACCCAGGCCTTGCTGGGGTAACTTCAGGGCGAGGGCAACTTGGAGACCTTGTCCTGGATTTCAGTACGAGGACTTTAGATGATCACATATCCAGCAGACCTGATGAATCTTTGCTTTGGTTCCCCCAGCATTTGCATCCAGTATTGTGTTTCAGTTTTGTTGTTTTGTGTTTTTGGTACCAGGGACCAGACACAAGCAGTGCCCCTGAACTAAATCCCTGGCTCTCAATATTGTATTTCTAGTGCCAAAGAAAGATAACTGGGTTCTGTGTGTCAGGACTGGAGGCGGCAAAACATTCGATGCTTTTTCATTGCTAAATTATAGGACAATTTCCTCCATGACCAGTGTTTACTGTTTTTTTGTTTGTTTGGTTGGTTGGTTGGTTTTTTGAGACAGGATCTCACTGTGTAGTTGAGACTGACCTGGAACTCACTATTGTAGCCCAGGCTCGTCTCGAACTCATAGTGATCCTCCTGCCTCAGCCTCCTGAGTGCTGGGATTACAGGCGTATGCCACCACACCCGGCTTCATGACCAGTGTTTAGATTTTTCTACATATTTTGAAATCACAAGCCATACCTGTCATCGTAAAATAGGAATGAGTTGTTTGCTCAATATTCCTTACCCTTATTTAAAAATCAGGATATACTACATATTATCTTTCAGAAAACCTTTGCCCCACTGAATTATTTTCTTCACTTCCCATGTGAACTTGCTGGGTGTACCTTCATTTCCAGTAAATTGTTGATTTTTTTGGAAGCCTATAAGTGAGATTTGGTGGATAAGATAATAGTTCTTTTGTGGAAGAAGTTTTTCTAATTCTCAGACTGTGAAATGCACAAGTTTGTCAGGTTCCACACACAGGTCAGTGACTCAGGGATGAGGGAACAGACCTTTAGTCCTGAGGGTATGATTGGCGCCTTCCATCATATTTCCAAGTTATGTGTGCACACGCACAGTCTCTGGAGTGAGAGGAAGGAGCAGGGAGGGCCCATGTCCCTGCAGGGCCTGGACTGTCCAATCTTAACTTGCTCTGTGAGAACTGGATCTCTATTGCATTTGCAAAGCTGGTTAAGAACCATGAACCTAGCTGGGCACAGTGGCACATGTCTGTCATCCTAGCTGCATAGGAGGCTGAAGCAGGAGGCTCTCAAGATCAAGGCCAGTCTGGGCAACATAGGACAAAAGGGCTGGGAATGTAGCTCAGTGGTTCTGCTGCCTGCCTCGCAAGCACAGAGTCCCAGGTTCAATCAGGTACCAAAAACATGAAACTTAGAAATAAAATGTGACATTTCCACACCTGTTTTGCTTCGCCAGGCTTGAATACACTAGTGGGAACCCTGAGAGCCAGACTTGTATTCCTGTGAAATTGTCGCCACTGGAAATCTGATCATCAGAACATGAGCCACGCTGTCTCTGTCGTTCAGGGTGCTCCTCTCGACTCTCATTAGTACTGTGTTGCTGCGTTGCACCTTCCTGGTGGTGAAATTTTGTTCTCAGATGACATGAAATATTGTTCTGAAGTTACTTTTTGTCTACAATGTTGATGGCAGATGATTTTATTCCACTGGGGGGAATCTTTAAAGAAACTGTCCAATGATTACTACTTCAGTTAAGATGGCCACAGTGGGATGGAGCGAAACACTGTGCGCAGCCAGAGCCCTGCTTGCAGTTGGCTCCTGTGTCTGTTAGTGGCTGGGTCCTGGGAGGCCTCTGCCTCTGGGCCTCCCTCTGGCTTTCCGGCCAGGTGCTGAGCCTGGTGCCAGCCATGTCAGGTGTCCAGCCCCGCTCTGAAGGCAGGGATCACTTGCAGGCTGTAGACTCACTTGGGCCAATTCCAGGGAAATGTCAGTAAGGATAAGGACCATTGCTTGAAAGACCAGAGCTTAAGGTAGTTTACCGACTGGCCGGAAAGTGTAGATGTGTTACATTCAGGACGCTTCCCCTGGACCCTCAGTGTTTATGTGCAGCCTGGTCCTCACACCAGGCAGGGCCTGCGGCCGTGTGTGATCACACTTATCCAGGTGAGTTCCCTGTGCTCTGCTAAAAACCCAGCTGGGTGTCAGTATTTCTGGTGCTGAACCCCTGGAATTGCTGCAGACCCCCTGGTAGAGGGCGCTGTCAGACACAACCCACATTTCGGGGAATGCCAGGCTACCTGCACTCTTAACAGGTATAGATCTGTTTCCCATGAATGTTCAGGTTTAAGTGGCTCCTGTGACTCAGAAAGCTTAGGAAAGAACTGTAGTCTCCACTATAGTCACATCGTGCAGGATCCCAGTTAGAAGTGGCCTAATGACCAGCAGCCAGGGCAAGGTGGGAAGACCTGAGGGCAGACTCGGGTCCTCTCCTCCCAGTGCCTTGATGCGTTTACAGACCAAGGGGCTCTGCATGGCTTTCCTGCCCGGGGTTTCTGTTTGGGCTTCGTTTCACAGAATGACTGATGAGACTGGACTCAGGCTCCACTTTCTCCCCAGAGGTTGGGCTGCACCTATGCTTGGTTTTTCTAGGGCCACCACGAGTCACCTCTTTAGCTATCAAGTGTCTTAGCCATTTTCCTTGTTGCTGGGACACAACACCCACAGCTTAAGGAGGAGAGCATACAGTTTGTAGAGATTTCAGTCTGCCGCCTGGCTCTGAGGCAGGGTAGCCTGGCAGAGGAGAGCTCTCATGGCAGGTGGGCAGAATAGAGGGAGATCGAAGGAGGAGCCAGAAAGGGGGAGATGCCTGCCGGGTCACACCACAGTGACTGTGCTCTTCCACCCCACCTAACATCAACTCAGCTATAATTTCCATTGATCCAGTCACCTTCCGAAGGTCCTGCCTGTGAGCATGTGAGGCTTTAGGGGGACATCTAGATGCAAACCATAATAGCAGGGTTGTGCCTGTCCCTCAAGGAAACCCAAGGGTTTCAGGCTCCCTGCAAGGAACTCTGTTCACAGACCAGGCGCATTTTTATTACACCATAGGCTCAGCAAGGGATAGCATTCATGTCCTAAGGAAGTGTAGCTCCTGTATCTCTGTTGCATTATTTCTTCCACAGGAACAAAGGTGCATTAGGTGACCAGGATCACTTGGCTTCATGTGTGTTCGTTTCTGGTGAATATGAGATGTGATCGTAGGGTGACAGGACCGTTTCTCCCGTGTGGCCTGCAGAGAATGGGATGCGGGGTGCCCTGGTGGAGTTCACACACAGGAGCCCGCAGAAGCTCTGGGGACAGTGACCATGGGGAGGGAGGCCAGGCCGAGCAGGAGGGCCCTGGACGGACCCCGGGGCAGAGGCTGGAGAGAAGGGGCGAATCGGAAGTGGAGGTGTTGTGTGCCTCCGTCCTGGGTGGGAAGAGCAGCATCCTTGGCGGGCGTGGGAGCGTTCCTTGCTGGGATGGTGGTGGCAG